TTAGAACTAAGAAACTATACAAACATCTTTAAAGAAAGCAATAGAGTAACAAAAACTAACAGCACCAAATTTGAACGCGTTCTTGTTTGTTTACTAGTTTTAGTTTGGTATTGTAAACAGATCGGTGCTACAGGGTCAAGCTAAATCCCCACTAAGTACTAAAAATTTCTAAAATTATTGTTCGTCTTTAGAAAATAGTACTGTTTTGTATTTTTCTTTTTATCTATAAACTTGGCTCGATTATCTTTCTAAGTTGGTGCTGTTAGTTTTTGTTACTCTATTGCTTTCTTTAAAGATGTTTGTATAGTTTCTTAGTTCTAATTAGCATTAATTTGCTAGTTTTCTTCTTGACTAAATTTGGTATGGAGGATCAGCAAAAAGAGTTCATAATAATAATAATAATAATAATAATAATAATATAGTCATCTAGAGTGTAGCAACTTAGTAAAGTAGTAGAGTTGTTACACTTCTAGATAGCAGGTCTAGAGTTCAAATCCCATAGATGATATTTTCAAAAAATAGCTCTGTAATATAGTTAATAGCTATTCGATAATCAGTAGGATCTAGAAATTTGTAATTTCAGTCACACTATTTAGAATAAAAGCTCTAGTATAATAAATCTGAGATACCAGAATAACTAAAGACCTGTTTGGCAAGTTTCAAGTTGGGAGGTAGTACAATTTTTAACAGTACTACAGAAGGACTGAATTTGAATCCAAGAACCAAAATTGGAGAATTAAGTAACCAGGTTCTTAAATAGAGAGATATACTAGCTGAACTGCTAGATTGCCAAACTGAAGAAAAAGAATATATGCTCTAGAAGCATGTATCAAGAGAAGGAAGACTATATAGACATGTAAGGTCTAGATAGACCAACCCTTCTGAGTTGCTAGCTAGAAGTAAAAAAGAAACTAATAAAAAATTTGGAGAAAAAAGAAGTTTAAATATGGGTGCTAGGATTGTATGAACCCAAATACAAGAGCAAGAAGTACATAACAACTACTAAGATAGAAGGATTATGGTTTGAGATATAGATCAAGTTACGGCATATCCTAAAAGATAGCTTGAAACACGAACTTGGTAACAGCAATATAACAGGTACTAGATTAAAAAGAAGTTACCAAACACATAGATGAATACATATATAAGACATGTATCACTCTGTTAGATTTATCTTGAAAATAAAGTAGTTCTAGATAGGGTGTGAAATCTATAGGTAGTGCAAAATCTAGCTATGAATAGTGAGTTACATCTTGATTAGATAAGGAATGATAGACCAGTTATGACTAGAGAGTTTAAACAGGTAATACTCTAGTTGAATTGCAAGTATAAGTAGCTAGTGTGGAATCTAGGGCAGACTACTTAAATAGACAACCAAAAGTTGCAAGTATAGCTAGTCATACTCTTGTTTATTAAAAGCTAGAGAATAATTACTTAGTTAGGCACATAGTAAATTTTTTTAAAAATATGCTTTTAAAGGGTTGTGTTTATATAGAGGTTTTTTTTTATAAATTAAATTATTATTTAGTCTAAATAAAAATATGATTATATATGATGTGATTGTATAAGAGGTGACTATATAGAGAGTTGACTATAATAATAATAATAATAAAAACATAATTTAAATCTATATATATAGTAACTAATTCTATAAATATATGTTGCATCTAGATTTAAAATTTGCCCAATTTAGAATTTGTCTATTCTAATCCAGAATTGGGGTACTCGAATTTGAAATTCTCAAGTAGAGTACCCCGATTAAAAATCATAACTTTTTGACAAGTACTATATAATATAATATTGTATATTAAACAAATACTCTTCTGTTTATAGAAATAGAACTAAATAAATAAATTCACTAATTAATATTTAAACTACAAAATTAAAAAAACAAATAAATAAAAATTTAATAAACAAAAACTTAAAAAAAGATATATAATATATGATATAATTTTGTAGTATATAGAATTAGGGTTCCTCAAAGTCAAATCGAATCAAATATTTTGTCAATTTGAATTTGATTTGATTTGAAATTTCTGTATTTGAATTTGATTTGATTGAATCAAATTCAAATCAAATCAAATTTATTTGTAATTTTTATTAAGTATTTTCAAATCGAATCAAATATTTTGTCAATTTGAATTTGATTTGATTTGAAATTTCTGTATTTGAATTTGATTTGAGATCAAATATTTGATCAAATCAAATCAAATCAAATCGAATTGCGGAACCCTATATAGAATAAACACTAATACTTCTACTTGTAGAATATAATCTGAAAATAAAAATAAATTTCTTAATAATATTTTAAATTGCAAAACAAAAAATAAATAATTAAAACTTAATAAATAAAAACTTAAAAAAAAAAAAATAACAAATCTATCAATAACTTAATTTAATCAAGCAATTTTTTTTTTTTAGCTTAAACTAATGGATACTACATATAAGCATTTATTATGTTAAAATGCTTTCATAAAAACCTTAACTATATATAATACTGTATAATATTGAATTATTTATAATCAAAATTGTTTAGCAAAAGATTGAATTTTTGTTTATAAATTTCTAATAAATTTAGTTATATAATTATTAAATGCTATATAATTATACAAAATTCTAAAAAGTAGCTTTATTATTTATATAATAAAAAAATATTTATCCAATAAACTACTAAAGTTTTAAATACAATTCATTTAATTTTCAAGCTTTGTTTTTATATTTCAAATTTTTTAGATAGTATCCACTTTCACATAAATTGTTTGTTTTTTTACAAAAGCATTTGCTTTAAAACAATTACCTTTGCAGTTACAATTTTTATTGTTAGCAAGAGTATTAAATTGTAGCCTTGCAGCTTCAACAATACTAACAGATATATAGATCAAAGAGTTGTCCAACTCAGAAAATTCTTTTGGTCTAAGTGGTAAAACTTCACTAGCAAAAAATACTCTTTTAAAAATACCAAGTTGGCATACAAGATAATATATATTGTTGGGAAGTACCAATAATATTTTACAAAAAAGAGTGCAACAATTGCCAGGTCTATAATTAATCTTAGCAATTTGTATTTTAACCAAGTTATCAATTTTATAATTATGTTCTTGAATGTTGTACTTTGTATGCATTTGATATTCTATTATGGAACAATAATCCTCAAGATTTTTGTTTATAACTTGTTAATAAATGTTATAATAAGTTAGTTTATTTAATACTTCTTGCTGAGTTAAAAGATAGCATTTTTTAAAAGAAAAAAAATCCAAATTAATAGATTTTTAATTTTTTTAATTATACAATATATAAGTAGTTAATAAATTTTAATTTTTTTTTTTTTTTTTTGGTATTAAGATGATCTCTATAGCTAGTGACTTTTTATTAGATTATTAACTTCAGATTATATAATTACAATAAAAGTATATTAAGCCATATATATACTTTTGATATCTAATTTAAGTAGTTCACCTGGGTTATATACTAGCTACCATATCTGCAATCTAACTAGAAGATTATCTACTTAAGCTCTCTGATTATTACTAATGAGAGTATGACTAGCTATACATACAACTTTTGATTGTTTATTTAAGTAGTCTACCCTAGATTTTATACTAGCTACTATACCTGCATCTCAACTATAGAGATATCTATTTAAACCCTCTGATTATAACTACTATCCATTTCTAATTTAACCAAGATGTAACTTATTATTCTTATATGTAGGTTTTGCAATATTTATAGATTTCATACCTGCTTTAAGACTTACTAACCATTTCTAGCTAATCTATTTACAAGATAAACCTAACAGTGTAGTCTATGTTTCACACATGTTTTTACCTACATGTTTGGTAACTTTTTTCTAACTAGTACCTGTTGTGCTACTGTCATCAGGTTCGTATCTCAAGCTATCTTTTAGGATACTACTATAACCCAATCTGTATTTTAAGCCACAACCTTCTTAATTAGTTTTCTATTAGTACTTCTTGCTCTTGTAAAATTCACACAACCCCAGTACTCACATTCAAACTTTTCTTCTTCCTCAGATTCTTTACTAGTCTCTTTCTTATTTCCAGCTAGCAATCCTGAAGGGTTGGTCTGCCCAGGCTTTATATATTTTACAGTTTCCCTTCTCTTGGTATATGCTTTCAGAGTACATATTTTTTTCTTTTGGTTTGGCAACCTGGTGGTTTAGCTGGTGTGTTCCCTCACTAAAAGACCTGATTGCTCAGTTTTTAATCTTAGTTTCTGGTTCTAAATTTGTTCTTCTTGTAGCACTATCGAAAGTTATACTACCTTCTAACTTGAAACTTGCCAAATAGGTTTTCAGATATTTCAGTTTTTTGAATTTATTGCACCAAAGCTCTCATTTTAGATAGTGTGACCAAGATTACAGATTAGGATTCAACTGATAGTAATAGCTATTAACCGTATTACAGAGCTATTTTTTAAAAATGTTATTTTTTGGATTCAAACTCCAGACCTGCTGTCTGGAGATGCAACAACTTCACCACTTCACTAAGTTACCACACCCTAGTTAATAAATTTTAAAAAATTAGATTAGGCTATATAAAATTAATTTTTTAGTTCTTATAAAATTTTTGAATAAGTAATCTTACCTGGCTTTTAATTTTATTTTTTTTTTAAAAAAAAACCCTTTTACCTAGACAAAAAATATATATAAAGCTTTTTCTTTGCAAAATTTGATCTGATCAAGTTATAAGAACCAAAAAATTAACTTTGGTTAACTTTAAATTATAGAATTATCACAACCTTGTCTCCTATAAGTTGTTTTCTATTATATATAATATTATTATCATTTTGTATATCTTTAGTAAATTGTTGTTTTGCCTAACTATTATAAATGATTTGTTGTAAAATTGTATAATAATCTGCATTTTTATAATTATTCTAGTTATTTCATTCTTCATTTTCAAAATTAGAAAATTTATCTTTTAAAATAAAAAAAAAGTATTTAATTATAAATATAGAAGAATCAGATTTATAAATAAATAAATAGTAAAAATTAATCAAAGCTAATATAGTACTCTTATATCTGAATCATCTCTGTTAATAATTTTTTAGTTTTCAAATATGTAAAGCAGTTAAAACTTGAATTCTCTATATTTCTATTACTCTAATTATTTTCAAAATTGTAAAATTCTACCTTCAAACAACAACTTCGTCATAAAAATATCCTCTATCTTGAACAACTTTGCTCTGCAGACAACAATACTCTTC